GGGGGAGTGGGGCTGGGCAGGCCCGGGAGGCGCCCGGCTGAGGCTGGAGCCCCGCCGGGAAAGGGGCTGTGCGAGGGCTGAGGGCTCCTGGAGGGGGAGAACGGGGGGCCTGAGGTGGTGGCTCTGGCCTGCAGGGCACGGTGGCGGCCGGCACAGCTGGGGTGGCTCCTGGCTCTTTAAGGAACACTAGCAGAAGCAGGGTTGCCTTTAAAAGCTCGTTCGGAGAGGAAACCAGAAAGGTTCTAGTTGTTACGAGGAGACTTTACAGTGTGGGACACTAGTTCTCATTCTTCTCAAAAGTGTCCTGTTTCTTTGTAAGCAGGAGCGTGTCCCAGGGGAGAGAACCTCTCCTGGGTTGAAATGTAAGGAAGGTGTTGTCTTGGCTGTGCAAGATTCAGCTGTAAAGACTTCACACTTGAGAATACGCCGTGGCTGTGTGGCTTGTGTTCTGAATGACAAGAAAATCTTGATTTGATTGTAACGTGCTGAGTTAGTCCAATGTGCAAGAAGTGGCCTTTAGCCAGCCAGCAGCTGCACTTGCTCGGCTGGAATTCTTGCACTTTCCCTGATGTTAGCACGCAGGATGCACTGCCTAATGCTGCTCTGAGACTCCATCACAGGGTGATCACCAGGGTTTGACCTGAACTCTGTGTTTCTGAATTATTTTTTTTGTTTTTCTTCATTTGAGACCTTGTTCTTGCAAGTAGAGAAATCATCATAAAATGGACATGCAGGGTTTTTCTGGTCATATTCCTTTCCTCTTGGCCTAGTTAAGTCATTAACATAGTGTAAAGTCAGCAACATAAGAACAAGAAGTTTTTGGTTTGGTGTGTTAGCTGTTTCTGCTTCCAAGGGAGAAGTTACTGGGACTGAAGGAATGAGATAATGTTTTTGAAGGAGGCGAGTGTAAATAGCAGTAAGCCACACACATGTTGTGACTTTTTTCCCTGTTCTTTGTAATAAAACATAGCGCAAGGTATTTACTACCACACCAGACACAAAGTAAAACTGGCAGTGGGTAGCCTTTGTTTTGTTTTCTGCAGTTTCTTTTGTACCATCTTGAAGAATGATCAGAAATCAGAGTGCTAACTGATGGGTGTACATCATGAGTCTACACAATGTTGTAGTGGTTGCAGAACACCATCATTTCTTGAAACGCAATTAAGTGGGCAGAAGCCCAGCTTCTGTTTCCTGTTTGCCAGTGTGAGCCAATAAGGTCAATTAGATTAATTCTGAAATTGCCTTGCAAGGTAAAGGATATTGGCTAAACCTGGCAGGCTGCGTTCGAAGATTTCCTGGGAGGATCAGTATATGGTATTCAAAGCTGGTTTGTATGCAGGTTGGCAGCAGTTCATTTAAATCAGCATTATTCTACTTCAGAAAAATAACTTTATACTTTAAAGAATAATAACCAGAACAGCCTTTGCTTTACTTGAAGATTAAAATTCAGTTTAGGAATTAAGGTAACTGTTTTCTTCATGTGCCTCTATCAGCAGCCTCTCTGCTTATTTCTAATATTGAAGTTCAGATATGAAAACCTTTAAAAATAGCTGCAGATGAAAGAGCTCATTGTGCCAGCTGTCAGCTTTTAAAGCACAGTGTTGAGTAGAATTCTCATGCATTCATATCATCATTGGCCTTGTGCTGTTGTTAGTGATGATGGCATTCTTTGGAAGACTTCCTTAATGAAAACACGGTGGAAGAGAAAAGCTTGTGAAATTGGGATGTCACTGGAACTGCATCTTAAGAGTTGAGGTCGTGGTTAATGGTAGATAAGTTCTTGGCATTGCTGGCCCACAGTATTTTTTTTGTCTCCTGTAGGAGCCAGTGATTGATCTCATCTGGCATTTTATGTAGTAACTCGGGAAGTGTGTGTGTGTTTGGAATAGGCAAGAGAAGAGTCTGCTGTGGTAGGAGCAAGTAAGGTGTGAGGGGTGTTCCTTCGAGTAATACTGCTGCAGAAACCTCACCTGGCAAGGTGTGATTTCAAAGTAAATTATTACATTTCTGTAAAGATATGAGATAATACAAGTTAGCTCTTGTGAGATTTTTTCAAAGCTGATGTTCCTAGGAAGATTAGATTTCATATTTCGATGTG